GAGTCTAAGCCTCCATCATGGTTGATATAAATGCAAAATGAAAACATAAACATGAAATGTTCAAGAACTAGATTACTAAAACACTCTTACTTTACAAGAACAAGGATTGCTCTCCCTTTTCTCTACAAGAGGAAGAATGCCCTTTAAGCTCCCAACATTGGAGTATTTAAAGGCAAGGAAAGGGAGGGGGAGGGTAGGAGATAAGAGAAGATGAGTGAATAGTGTTTGCTGTCTATGAAAACCAACTACTCTGCAGGCAGTCTGCAGAGGACGTTCAAACGTGATCTGGCGTTCAAACGTTAAGTCTGTCTTTTCTTTAAGGACATTCGAACGTGAGATGTCATTCGAACGTTGTCTGTATCTTTGCTTTGAGGGCGTTCGAACGCCAGATGGGGTTTGATTCCTTTGACTCAAGTGGCCTGTGGTTTCTGTGATGGTCACTTTCATACGTCTTGAACAACTTTGAATTACACTCAGCAACTTGGTCCTCAGTCACTCAAGACAACATTCGAACGTTGTACTCGAGTACTTTTGGTTCTTCTTTCTTTTTACTACAACATGCCAGGTTTCAGTGGTGTAGTCTTCTCAAGATTCCAGAGGACGTTCGAACGTGGTACTCAAGTACCTCAGTATTTTTCCTTTGTTGATTGCAACACGCCATGTCTCAGCAGATGGTCTTGGCAGGATTTCAGAGGACGTTTGAACGTTCTTTCTTTGTTCCAACCTTCTGCAACTTTGTTCCCTATTGTGCTGGTGTTACATTCAAGTGTGATTTTTGTTGTTCTTGAGCCTTTGTTCTCTTTAGGACCTAAAATGTCATTACTTAAACTCCATCAAAGTACAATTAGTCCAAAAAGACATAGTAAAAATTGTTCACTTTACGCACGAATCAACAAGAGTACATGTGTTATTTATAGCGAGGGCAATCAATTCCTCTTCCATGACTGTGCGCCAACCAAGATGGCTCTTAGCTGTAGTTATGGATTGAGGTTTAGAGGGAATGGTAGAATATGCTCGAAGGGCAGTAAATTTTGATACTTTGGATTGGGTTATGAACTCCACTTTTGGCCCAAGTAAGAATGGGGTGCTAAGTGAGCTGTTGGATAGGAGCAGATGGTGGAGTAGATGATGGGGACATAGCATTTAAGTTCTCTGAAGAAAACCCAAATGAAGGAGTTGTTGAAGCTGCAAGTGGAGAAATTGGGCCAGACATCTCAAGTGGAGACTCAAATGAATGGGCTACTGAAGGAGCAATTGGAAGAGTCCCAAGAACAATGTCATGTTCTGAGGATGAAAGCTTCAGTATGGGCTTTGGGGAAAACCATACTGGAGTATCAATGGCAAAGATGGCAGATGGGCTAGTAATAGGTGAAGCTAGAGTAGAAGCAATAACAGAAACACTTTCCTTCAGTGGTGCCAAGGTAGATAGAGGTTGGGAAGATGTCATTGAGTTCCTGGGTGAGGAGGCTTCCCAATCTGAAAAAGAACAGAGATCACCATCGACTAAGTAGTTGTCATACAGCCGATTGGGCTGAACAAATGACAGAATAGTTTCGTCAAAGACCACATGGCGGGAGAGATAATTTCTACCGGTGGGCAGATGGAAACAATTGTAACCTTTATGCTTGATGCGATAGCCAATAAAAAAACAAGGAAGTGATTTGGGTGCCAACTTGTTATTCTGGTAATCTTCAAGATACGAAAAACATTTGGAGNACAAGGAAGTGATTTGGGTGCCAACTTGTTATTCTGGTAATCTTCAAGATACGAAAAACATTTGGAGCCTAACACATGCAGCATTTCATAATCTGGATGCTTACCATGCAGCCGAAAAATTAGTGAATCTATAGCTAAAGTTGGTGAGGGTAATCGATTGATGAGAAACACAGCCGTAGAAAAACAATCCACCCAAAATTGAGGTGGAAAATGAGCATGGAACATCATAGTGAGACCTAACTTAGTTATATTACAATGCTTATGCTCTGCCTTTCCATTTTGCTCCAGAAGTTTTGTACAGGACGATTGGTGAAATATGCCCTTTGATGTTAGGAAGTGCTTAAATCCACTATCCACAAATTTGCCACCTTCGTCACTTTGAAAGATACAAATTTTGGCACTAAACTGGCATTGCACATATTTGTAAAAGTGCTCAAAGCAAGCAAATAAATCAGACTTGTGTCGCATAGGAAAGAGCCAAGGGAAATTTGTACAGTAGTCAATAAATATAGCATAGAACCGATATTGTTCACGAGATCTCACCGGGGCAAGGCCCTATAAATCGCAATGAATCTTATGAAATGGAGTTTTTATTTCATTGTCCTTAGGCAAAAAAGGTAGTCAACAAGACTTACCCATTTGAAAACTCTTAAACTTGGGATCAAAAGTAATAAACTGCCTAGAATTCAAATGATCAACAATTCTCTGATGCGGGCGTCTGAGACGTTGATGCCAGCAATTATTATCCACCTTACAAANAACTGCCTAGAATTCAAATGATCAACAATTCTCTGATGCGGGCGTCTGAGACGTTGATGCCAGCAATTATTATCCACCTTACAAAAGTGATGAGAGAAAAAAGCTTTGGTCGCACCATCAAGAGCATAAATTCCATCACATTTACTCCTTTTCGCCACTATCTGATTGGTTCTCAAATCCTGTATCACAAAACCAATTCCATCAAATGTAAACGTGAAAGGAAAATCAGTAGTTAGTGTACTGACAAATAATAAATCTTTTTGTATTGCAGAACCAAGAGAACATCATNAAAGTGATGAGAGAAAAAAGCTTTGGTCGCACCATCAAGAGCATAAATTCCATCACGTTTACTCCTTTTCGCCACTATCTGATTGGTTCTCAAATCCTTTATCACAAAACCAATTCCATCAAATGTAAACGTGAAAGGAAAATCAGTAGTTAGTGTACTGACAGATAATAAATCTTTTTGTATTGCAGAACCAAGAGAACATCGTTCAATTGGATAGAAGAAGAACTAGTACCAAGATATTTTTAACCAATATGAGTGATAGGCATGGTTGGTCCATTTTCGAACATGACACCGTCGGACCCATGATAAGGTTTTAAGGAATGTAAACTACCTGGGTTACCTATGATATGATTCNTCAGTAGTTAGTGTACTGACAGATAATAAATCTTTTTGTATTGCAGAACCAAGAGAACATCGTTCAATTGGATAGAAGAAGAACTAGTACCAAGATATTTTTAACCAATATGAGTGATAGGCATGGTTGGTCCATTTTCGAACATGACACCGTCGGACCCATGATAAGGTTTTAAGGAATGTAAATTACCTGGGTTACCTATGATATGATCCGTAGCTCTAGTATCGAGAAACCAAACAGAGTCCTGAGTGTCAGCAACCGTCATGGTAGCAAGTGCTTTGGGAATATTATCTGAAGAATATGTGAAATTGAACCTGTTAAAGCACTTAAGAGCAATGTGGTTGCATTTATTACAAATCTGACACACATGAGTGTCATCTTTTGAGTTGTTCTTGGGAGAAAATGATTGACGGTTTCCTTGCTTTGTATGAGGTTGTGTAGCAGAATATTGCTTTTGTCCAGATGACTGATTTTGAACAAAGCCACGCCCTTTAGAGGAAAAGCCTGTTGCTCTACCCTCTGCAGTGTGTCCACCATGGGTCTTCTTTGATTTGTTGGATGAATGATTAGATCGCTACCCAAAGAAATCCATTTTTCGAACCTTACAGAACATCAAGGTTATGATAGATAGCATAGCTCTCCAAAAAGGTGACTACCTTGGAGTAAGGCGGAATTGGAGGCCGAAACATCATGGTTGTAAATATCTCATAGTCTTCGTCGAGACCATTAAGAAGCCACCACGATTTCTTGGGATCGGAAACGGGTTTGCCAATGGCAGTAAGGTCATCACAAACTGACTTGAAGCGACGCATATAGATAGCTAAAGTGTCAGTCCCTCGAGTTATGGAGGTGAGCCGTTGTTTGAGCGCAAGATTGCGGTCAAACGAAACTTGAGCAATGGCATGTGCTAAAGCATTCCAGACCTCAACTACAGTGATGAGTCTGACAACAATGCCTAGGACTTCTTCAAAGAGAGTGGCAATGAGCCATCCTTTAACAAGACAGTCAGATTTTCACCACTTNCAACAATGCCTAGGACTTCTTCAAAGAGAGTGGCAATGAGCCATCCTTTAACAAGAAAGTCAGATTTGCACCACCTGATAAATTCAAGATTTGGTTGAGAATTAGACACACCATCTGAAAGAAATTGAGATGGTGGTATAATTTCACCATTAATGAATCCTTGGAGTTCGTAGCTCTCAAGGATATTTTGCATTTGAGTCTCCCATAGAAGAAATTTTTTTGAGGAAAGGCGAAGAAACACAAAGTTTGCAACATTTTGGGTTGCGAGATAGGCATACTTAGTGATGGTAAAGCTGCTGTTGAAGAGTTGGAAGTAGTAGACATGATGAAAGGAAAAACTCAAATGGAGGGGCTCTCCCTTATCTCAGTTGTAAACCCTCATATGTTTATATTAATATAATGATATAATTGTTTATTAATTTTAATATATATAATGACATAAGAATGAACTACATAGACTATAACAGTAGAAATAAATATTTGGGAGACAAATGGATTGTTAAGTTTAAGTTTCGAAGGTGTTTAAACTTGGAAGAGGTTGTAGGTGAGTTTCTAAATACTTTTAGGTCAAAATAAGATGTCCATTGAATCCGGAAGATCGAGAAACATTGGGAGAGGTAATATGGGGTGTAATAAAGTTAGGAAGTATCCTGGAATTAAAGCACACTTTAGAGAGAATTTGGATAAAAAGAATTTGGACACTTCCTAGTATTTGGATCATAAATTTGTATCCTAATGTCCATTTGATCTGAAATGTTGACAATAGATAATAGACTTCTAGAGCTACAAAAGTGTGTTTCATGAAAATTTTCCAAATCGACCTCTAAATAGGCCAAAACTGCACTGGAAGTTTCAGTAGAAACAGGAAGTACGTTCAAACATGAAATGACATTCGAACGTCCTACGTTCGAATGTGAAAGTCTATTTGAACGACAGTGCGTTCCAGTATTTTTGTCTGATGAAAAAACCAAAGTACTGGGAGCTAAGGATGTTCGAACGCCAATGACATTCGAACGTCAGTTACGAATTCTNTGCGTTCCAGTATTTTTGTCTGATGAAAAAACCAAAGTACTGGGAGCTAAGGATGTTCGAACGCCAATGACATTCGAACGTCAGCTACGAATTCTGACTCTCAAAATCGCGCACAAGACACCCGTTCTTCTACTATAAATACTTAAAGACACCTCCCTAAGCCTCATTTCAACATTTCTAACCCTAGAAAAGCTTAGAGAGGAAGAAATAAAGTAAAAACAAAAGATTAAAGGGTTGATTCAAGTTTGGGAAAGACCAAATCTCAAGTTCTTCAAGAATACCAAGGAAGAAGAAGGTAGGGGTTTTCTCCTATTCTCTTACATTGAGGCTAGAGCTTATATATATATATTCTTTCAATTCTAAATCTTGTATATATACTATGAGATCTTTTATTCTTGATATTCTTGCAAATATTACCATGTTCTACACAATGTTTTGGTTGGATAACCATTAAATCTCTTTTCTTGCCTTCAAACCCTAGTTCACAAGAGAAATGAATTTTTCTCTTGATTTTTCATTTGTTCTTGATTTCAAAACTTTAGTGCTTTGTATTGAACAATAAAATAGTATTTATGATGATATCTTGCATTTTCTTCAATTGTTCTATTGAAATACTACATGTGAAATTGGGGATTTATGAAATTGTTGTTATTTGAGAAAATTTTGTGTATTGTATCTCTTGTGTGGTTGTTGGATAAACATGGACTACTATTGACTGGATATCTTGGAGTGTGTAGACGCCTTCTTACTCCATGGGGTTTTAAAATTTTCCTACCACTCGTAGTGGGGTTAGTGCCTTGCGAGGACTAAATCATTATCACTCACGGGGTATTGTGGAATAAGGATTTGTGTGGGTTGTAAGTGGGCCAGGATATTTTCGATGGTATTCATGCGAGATCTTACTTCATACCAGAGATACAAATACAATGGTGGGTTATTGTTCATTGTACCACAAATAGTTTCTACAAGAATTTTGGGAAGTATGGGATTCCGCAAGAACTTGGGAGAAATGGTTTATGGTGGAATGGATTATTAGTCGTATATTGGTTTCACTGATGCATTAAATTATTGTTGTTGCTTAAACTTGAGATATGTTTAAATGTCTCTATTTTATTTCAAAATTCATATATGCTATTTGTGAAAGGTGACCGACTATTTTTATATGTTATTCTAAACCTTGCTCGAGTTTGGGAGAAATGTTGTTACAGAGCTTAGTACTCATCCCCTACAAATTACATTTTTCAGATTATATACTGGAGGAGGACTTGGGAGTTGATGAACCAGCACTCTGGGAGATTCCTGTAGATGGGCAGGTTGTGCCCGAGGTGGACGCTTAG